TTCAAACTTGGATGCATTCAAAAACCTGACTTCTCTCCAAAACCAAAAGCTAATTTCAAGAGAGTTAAAGTCGATGGAAAAACTATCGTTTCAAGACTGAATTTTGAAAATGTGGTTTATGAGCAAAGTACTTGTACTAATGACAATTCAAAACCAGAGATCGCTACAAACCCTATTGACAAATCAGAATCTTTGCCTGACAAATCTACTTCATTAGCAAGTATAGTTGATGAAAAAGAAAATCCAAATGAGGAACCATTAACCGATGAATCAATCAAGTGAAATTGAGAATTCATCGAATTCAACATTGATGAAACCTYAAGAAGATCAAACTAAAGCATCAACCTCTGAACCTACATCTTCTGCTCCCATTCAAGTAAAATTTGATTTTGAGAAATCAGCAAGAGATTTTCTCGATTCTGAATCTGAATGAGAAATAAGTTGTGAACCACCAAAAAACATTGGGAACAAGAAACCTAAACATTTCAAGTCCCCAATGAAATATGGTATTCCTTCATCGATGAAATCCTCAGACAAAGGAAAAGTTTCAATCAGCAAAGTGGCTTATGTCGAAGGAATAAAGCACAATCTATTAAGCATAAGTCAGTTCTGCAACCGAGGTCTTGAAGTAAAATTTCTCAAAGGTCTTTGCATAATAGAAACGAAGTCCGGTAACCAAACAAAGGCATCATAAAGCCAGTTCCTATTTATGTTCCTTTTCCCCAAAGGTTAAGGAACCAAAAGAAAGAACTACAATTTAAGAAGTTTTTGGAAGTGTTTAAAGCATTGCACATCAACATACCCCTTGTTGAAGCTATAGAGCAAATGCCCAGTTATGCCAAGTTCCTTAAAAATATTTTCAATAAGAAGAAGAAATGGACCGAATATGAGACCGTAGCTCTTACTGAAGGATGTAGTGTGCTTCTAACCAACAAAATACGCCCTAAGCTTAAAGACCCAGGGAGTTTTACTATTCCTTGTTCTATAGGTGGTAAGGAGATTGGTAAGGCATTATGTGATTTAGGAGCTAGTATCAACCTTATGCCCTTGTCTGTTTTCAACACCCTAGGCATAAGAGAAGCTAGACCCACCACTGTCACCTTGCAATTGGCCAATAGAAGCATAGCTTATCCAAAATGTAAGATTGAGGATGTTTTAGTTCAGGTTGACAAATTCATCTTTCCGACTGACTTCATCATCATAGATTTTGAGGCTGATAAAGATATTCCCATAATCATAGGAAGACCTTTCTTAGCCACTGGTGGAACCTTGATTGATGTCCAAAAGGGAGAGCTAACCATGAGACTCCAAGATCAGAAAGTCACATTCAATGTCTTTAATTCCTTAAAGTTCCCTGATTACTTAGAGGAATGCTCAGGAGTTACTGAGATTGATACAATGTGCTATGAGGAAGGAGTTAAGAAGGCCTGTAAGCTAGAGGAGGAGGATAGTGTTGAGATAGATGATGATACTGTTGAGGATTTAGAAGGTGATGTCACATCTGATGCTGCAGCATTTGAGTTGTTGGACAATAGTGAGCTTAAGAATTTTACCCCGTCTATAATATCACCACCTGATCTGGAGTTAAAGCAACTCCCATCTCACTTGAAGTATGCATATCTAGGAGAGCAAGGTAAATTACCTGTCATTATATCATCTACCCTAGATTTACATTAAGAAAAGAAGCCTGTAGATATGTTGAAGTTGCACACCAAAGCCATAGGATGGACCATTCCTGACCTAAAGGGGATTAGTCCTTCCATATGTCAACATAAGATCATCCTAGATAAAAAGAACTTCAAATCTATAGAGCCTCAAAGGAGATTGAACCCGGTCATGAAAGAAGTAGTGAGGAAGGAAATCTTGAAATGGCTAGATGCCAGAATAATTTTTCCAATAGCCGGTAGTTCCTGGGTTAGTCCAATCCAGTGTGTCCCAAAGAAGGGAGGGTTTACTGTAGTCACCAATGACAAGAATGAACTCATCCCTACAAGAATAGTGTCTGGTTGGAGGATATGTATGGACTATCGTAGGCTAAACAAAGCCTCTCAAAAGGACCATTTTCCCTTGTCTTTTAATGATCAGATGTTAGACAGGTTGGCTGGAAAAGAGTATTACTGCTTTTTAGATGGATACTCCGGATATAACCAAATAGCCATATCACCCGAATATCAAGAAAAGACCAATTTCACATGTCCCTATGGTACTTTTGCTTTTAGGAGAATGCCATATAGACTTTGCAATGCTCCTGCAACTTTTCAAAGATGTATGATGTCCATATTCTCTGACATGCTTGAAAAATCCATAGAAATCTTTATGGATGATTTTTCAGTATATGGTCATCTTTTGATAATTGTTTGGAAAATTTAAAAGGAGTTTTGAAAGATGTGAAGAGACTGATCTGGTTCTCAATTGGGAAAAGTGTCATTTCATGGTCAAAGAAGGAATTGTTTTAGGCCATTTGATTTCCAAAAGAGGAGTTGAGGTAGACAAAACTAAACTTGAAATCATTGAAAAACTACCTGAACCAACTACTGTTAAGGGAATACGAAGTTTTCTTGTTCATGTTGGGTTTTACCGAAGGTTTATAAAAGACTTTTCAAAAATCTCAAAACCTTTGTGTTTACTTTTGCAACATGATCAAAAGTTTGATTTTATGGATGAATGTAGAAATGCATTCAACACTTTGAAGAAAGCCTTAGTAACCGCACCAGTAGTTGTTGCTCCTGACTGGAACAAACCCTTTGAGATCATGTGTGATGCTAGTGACTGGGCTGTTGGAGCTGTCTTAGGTCAAAGAAAGGAAAAAACTTTTCATTCAATCTATTAGAAGTTGCAAAAGAGAAAAGTGCTATGTTGGGAAGCTTGAAAGATTACTATGTAGATGAAGATGAAAATTTCATTCATCTTTTGTATGATGGAATGATTCTCATTTCATCATAAGGGGGAGTATATGTAATAATGAATGAAATATTCATTTCCGAACATTGTTAAAGGGAATCTGATGCAAAGATCAAGGGGGAGTAACTTCGATAATGGCAAAAGACTCAAAAGAAGTGCGACTGAAGATATCACAGAAAGATTATTCATGTGCTACATCGACTGAGAGTTTTTGAATGAGCAGATCAATGTTTCAAAAGTTTACAAAGAAAAGTCTGAAGATTAATTCTGAAGATCCTTTCAAGATCACATCTTGTACATTGTTTCTGACAATTACTGTTCTACTTTGTCAAAAGAGAAGATCATTGTGGTTCTACATTCGAGGAGGAAAATGCTAGAAGATCTTTCTCAACAGATGATTACTTGAAGATTACAAGTTGAAGATTTCTTTTGAAAATTGACATATTGTGCGTAAAGTCTCAAAGTTCAAACAAGGACTTAGAGTGCAGAATTTTCTTTCAAGTATGAATACAAAGGGGGAGAATGTTAGGACTGAAAATCAGTATTAAATTGTATTCGTCTTGAAAGTCAAAGACCTTCCAGCCTAGTGGTAAAGGCTTGGGAATGACATAGTCATGAACCCGAGTTCGAGCCCTGGGAGTGGAGTGTTGGCGACATTTAAGTGGGGCCAAGTTTAGCCTCCAAATTTGCCGGGAATTAGTCGGGCTTTGGCCCGGACACTCTTACAAAAAAAAAAAAGTTAAATATTGTCTATAATTATAAAAGTCATCGTGTTTGACTTTTCTTATAGGAGTTTGACTTGTGTTAGTAGGTTTGACCATATAAATAGGAATGGTCTTTGTAATTTGTAAGAAGAGAGCTCATTTGTAAGATTTTATACGTAATAAGAGGTTTGACCAAACTTAGAATGCATTGACTTTTCCTCTCAATATTCATATGAGTGTTCTTATTATTCTTACAAGAAATCATAGATCTGCCATATTATGGAGCTTCATGAAGATTGATCATTGAATTGTGGGACAAACAATTGGTATCAAAGCATGTGTGCAAGAAATCAGATGAAGAAATCAGAGATATGTGAAGATTTTATTTTCTTTTTCGTGTTCTTCATTTTTTCCTTCTGTTTGATCCGAATTTTTTTTAAATCTTGTGTTTTCGTGTTATAAATAGGATCAAAATGCTCGGAATTTAATTGTGAATCTTTGTTATTCACAAACTTTTGTGATTTGATAATTTTAAATCAAGATTTAATCGGATTTTGTGTCTTAAAATTTTTTCGTGTTCTTGAATTTTTTTTAAAACCAGTGTTTTTGATCCATTTTTTTAAAAAGTTTTTCTGTTTTTGTGTTTTTGATAGTTTTTATCTGGTTTTAATTTTGAGTTCTCTTAATTTTTTGTTAAACCGTCCAAATCCTAAATCGAAGGAGTCGTACAAAAGCTTAAGTGGAGAAGAGATTACACCGCAGAAGCCTTGATCGGATTGTTCTCCGGTTTGTTTCATAGTATCAATCGGTTTCTAATCCAAGTCTAAACCGCACATAGCTTGATCGGGGTACTTGAGCGGATTAATAGAATTCTTGAGCGGTTTAAGCTAAACCACACACCATTTCAGCGGATTAAGGAGCTAAACCGTGGAAGACTTGACCGGATAATTGTCCGGATTCGCATAAATCACAGGTAAGTCTTTGAGCGGTTTATATATAAACCGATCACCTCTTGACCGGTGTTCATATAAACCGATCATCTCTTGACCGGATAAGTGTCCGGATAAGTAATAGTTTGATTCATTGCTTGAGCGGAGAAGTTATCCGCACACATCTTGTGCAGATTTTGAGTTTTCCTTGAGCGTCCGGATAAGTGTCCGGTTTATTAAACCGCTCAAGTTATTGCTCAATCTCTTTGACCGAATATCAATTTGTTCAATTCATTTCACCATCTGGTTTCTTAATTGCTCATCAGGTTTGAACGATTTAAGAATTAGACTTGACTGTTTAAGCAATTCACAGCAGATTGTTTTGGTTCAAGACTTAATCACACAGAATCTGTTACCAGCTTCTCCATTTCCAAGTGTTGCTGTCATTCAGGACGAAGCACAATCAGAGACTGCTAGAGGAAGCTGCACAGATACCCTTTGGTTGTGAATCTAGGATTGTAACAGCTTGTAATCATATCAAGGGATTTTGTTTTGGGTCATATGTACTTGAACTGTTTTGTGTAATTTGGACTAGGACAGTTTTAATTTTTAGGTTTCTAATTGTTCGTGATTTTTCAATTGTGTTTAGATTTTATTTTTGGATCATCTTATATCTGTTTTGTGTGTGTTTTCAGTTTTTGTGTTTTTTCTATTCTTTTTGAGCTTAAACTGTTCTTGTTTCTTTCATATAATTTCACTGCATAGATCCCTTAACTGATCTATTTTTTTTCTCTAATGGCAGATATCATAAAGGAGTTGAGAGCTAAGATTGTTGAGCTGGAAAAGAACGTCGAGAGTTATAAGGAGAATGAAGTATTACATCAATCATGCATCAATCAGATGAAAAAGATGACACTCCAAATTCAAACCTTCCAGCAAGAGTTAAAATCAGAAAAATTGCGTTCAAATAATTTTGAAGATCAATTAAAAACGCTAAAAGAAAGATATACCAAAGTATATATTGAAAATGCTGGAAACTTGAATTGGGCTAAGTCTTTGCAATCTGAGTCCAAAATATCTGAAGAAAAATTCAATGCTTTAAATTCTGAGTTATCTGAATTAAAGGAAAAACATAAATCATAAGCTTTAGTTAATGACGAACAAATTGTCAAAATAAATAAGCTTGATTTAAAAATAATTCAGTTAAATAAAACTCTGAAGGAAAAAAAAAGAAATTTTATACAAACGTGGACAAACTGATCAAACCATCTTTCTAAACAAACCATCTGAAGCAAGATTTTTTAACCCTCGGGAAGGGTTGGGGTTTGAAACTCCGAAATTTTTAGAAAAAACTTTAAAATCTGCCCCGACCTTATATGATTCTCAATATATTTTTTGCGATCCCGATTATTCTGTAAAGTTTACAAAATCTTCTGACGAGGTTGAACAAAAAGAAGACATTAATCGTCAAAAAAAAGACAAAATGCAAGTTCCRTTTAATTATTCAAAATTAAATGAAAGTTACAAAGATCAAGACTCTGTAGTTTCAACAGATTTTA